TAAAATTAATTGTGGAAACGTGGGGCTTGCCTCATTTGAATACGCCTGTAAAACATTTACTACTCGTCTGTATTCATATGCAAATCAGGCTCTTTCTCACTCGATCCACACCGAGCAAACAGTTTTGCCCCTAGTGTTTTGATTTATTCCACAAACTATGCTTTATTAACAATAGCATTTAATATATGTTATGGTCATTTATCTTTATGTCTTTTAATTGTTGCCTGCACAGCGCATCTTTTTGTTTGCCTTTATTTTTTTCATTAGATGGAGAAGTAGAAACTTTTTAATTGAGCACAGACTGTTGGTTTTATTCATCTTGTGCTGTCTTTACTCTTCAAGCTGCACTGAGCTGACTTGATTTTTCAGTAAGCATCAACAAGATTGCACATTTGGCTAATTAGGGACCAATATTGGAATTCAGGCTGATTATTTTTATCATGTTATACATGATAAATGATAAACTAGCAATATTATCAAGCAGTGATGTTAAACTGATTATTTTCCGCCGAATGCGTGCAGCTATGTTGTCCTTACTCAGACATGATCTTTAAGTGCTATTAATGAGAAAATGTTCTTATCAGGTTAAATCTAAAAAAGTAATTATTTCTAATAAAATGCTGTTCTTTTGAACTTTCTATTGATGAAAGAATCCTAATAAAGTATGAAAGTTTCCACTAAAATATTAAGGCAGCACAACAACGTTGTTCCTAACATTTGATGATAAGGTTGATTTATTTATTTATGTATTTTTAATCAAATATATATTTATAAGTGATATGGTCACGTTATTTCCATTAATGTCTCTCCGAGTCTGTCCCAGTGGTGAAAAGGTTAAACATAGCAGGGGGGATTATTACGTTTTTAGTATTTATTTACTGTTTATTGCATGGTGAAGTAATTAGGTTGAGTATTCAGTCATTAAATTCATTATACCGTGTAGTTTGAACCATTTATGTGTTTAGTGTTTCTGGCTTTGGATTTTTGGGATTGAGTGAGTGAGAACTAGATTACACAGCCCCTGGGAGTTGGATTGATATTGTTGTACTGTAATTGAGAGGATTGTTCACTGAAAGCTCATGACGTTGGCAGAGGTTGAAAACTGCTGATGCCAGGTGTTTATAGAGCAGAGATGGCCACTCTGGGCCAGACTAACACTATTCTATGATGTTCACAAGAAACAAATTTCACATAATCTAAAACAGACCCTTGACTTAATTGACGTGTTTCAGTATTTAGTTTTTGTTGTTGTTAGAGAAGCACTTTTTTCTTTTGTAGTCATCTTCACATTTAATCTATTGTTACGTGAAATGTAATTATATTACATATAATGAATTCTCCGCTCCAAATCTAAATGGGAAAAAAGTAGCATTCATATATGTGTGTGTGTGTGTGTGTTTATGGGGTAATTTGTTTAATGTGCATGAATGCTGCTGTCCAATTTTCATTAGCATTTCATTAGTTGCATTCATGTAATTCTGCCCCAGCTCCACATGGCTTAATGAATCGATCTGCATTTTGGCCACATTCAGCCATTAATGTTGCAATGACTCTCTTTACCACCAGTGTGTGTTATTGGATCTTCTCTCTGTGGGATTTGACCTAGTTATGCACATATAATGTGCCTGTGAATACTCACATTTTGCTTGTTGAACTAGAAGTTGTGGGATGTCAGCTTACAGAAGTATTTCTTTAAAAAATGTGTTTCAGAAAGCAGTGTTTAGACTATATTTCAGGAAACAATAAGGGGAAACAATGGATCCACACACCATGAAAGAGGCTAGCAATTGCACAGATGAATTCTTTCGCTACTAATAAATGATCAAATGCTTGATGGGAGATAAGAAAAATAACTTAATTTTAGGATTACCACATTACAGGCCAGTGTTGGGGTGCTACCTAAAGGCAGAAACTCTTTTCACTACTTTTTTCAATATTTGAATAGCATCTCAACTACTTTCAAAACAATGTAGCTTGTCAAGTTTTATTTAATGAGTAGTGGTGTAGCACGTTAAAATGCTACAGTGGTGTTTTTAATGTCACATTGCGTTCTCAGCAGCATTTACTGATGGTATAACATTTTTTATTTATTCTATTTTTTATTTGTATTTATGTGTGAAAGTTTTAGACGGTCACTGTAATTGAGATAATTATAAAAAAAAAAATAAAAAAAAACTATTTTTTTTGTGCCAAGAACATTTGGCTCTTATTATAGATTATATGTATTAAAAGAATTACAGCTATTTAAAAATATTTTCCCTTTAAGCAGCTTTAATGTAGTTACATGTAGCTACTTATTCTAGTAGCTTGATAGATAGACAGACAGACAGACACCCCCATTGGACTGTGTGTTTTGGTTTCTCCCTCTTGTGCCATTATTTGGTTATGTTCCTGTTCTCGGTGTCATTATTAGTTGATTATCCTCACCTGTCTGTCCCTCGTTAACTTCCCTACTTTAGTTCTAGCCTGTTCAGTTCGCCCTCGTCCGGTATTGAACGTCAACCCCCTGTGCTACGTGTGCTCCTTCCTTCCTTCCTTCCTTCCTGTGATTAAAGATTGTTCCGTGTGAAAACTCCTATGGGTCCTCGTTCCTTCACAGTAGGCAAGTGTTAGATAGATAGACAGACAGATAGATGGATAGATAGACAGACAGATAGTTTAAAAAGTATTTTTAGTCCCTTAAGTCTCTAAAGCTCACCAAGGCTGCATTTATTTGATCAAAACAGAATATTATTATTATTTGATTATTAAATATTATTTGATTTTCTAGTTTAATATGTGATTAAAGATTGTTCCGTGTGAAAACTCCTATGGGTCCTCGTTCCTTCACAGTAGGCAAGTGTTAGATAGATAGATAGACAGACAGATGGATAGATAGACAGACAGATAGTTTAAAAAGTATTTTTAGTCCCTTAAGTCTCTAAAGCTCACCAAGGCTGCATTTATTTGATCAAAACAGAATATTATTATTATTTGATTATTAAATATTATTTGATTTTCTAGTTTAATATTTAAAAATAAATGATTTATTCCTGTGATGCAGATTTTTATACTTTTTTTTAAGAAGCATTTTATTAATGGATAGTTCAAAAGGCCTTACTGTCATTTTGTTTCTTCAACTTGCTGAATAAAAGTATTAATTTCTTGTTTCTTTCTGACCCCAATATTTTGAATGGTAGTGTGTATATATGTACACAACATCCTCCCTCTCTCTCTCTCTCGCTCTCTCTCTCTCGCTCTCTCTCTCTCTCTCTCTCTCTCTCTCTCTGCGCAGTGGAGGCAGCCGCCTGTGAAATTGGGTTCTAAATTACACTATGGAGAAGCTTAGCCATCACTCTAATGCTAAGTCTGTTTAAAACCTACCCAGAGAGGTCTAGTACGAGTCAAAGCATGGCTTTTGAGGGTGCTGGGCCAGTTGACCTCAGCCTATGAGCACAGAAGTGCCTATGTGACCTTTTACAAATTCATGAGAGGAAAACGTTTGTAAATCAGCAAATGCCTTTACAATTAGTGCAGAAATGAATCGGGACCTTCGTTAAATATCTAAATGCTATTATATGGCTGTAACCTACCTTATTTTTTTAAATATTTTTTTTCAATATGCCAGAACTAAATATCTAAAGGAAAGTGTTTTATGCACATATGTGCTGTTGTTTCCACACTAATAGACACATTATGCAAAACAGGCACATGTATACTTTGGTGATAAAGAACATCTTGTTGTTCTTATTCAGTTTTAGACTTCAACGTAACTTTTGCACCAACTAGATAGCAGAAGACCATGCTGATGAAGAATGTTACCACTCATTCTAGGTACATCCATCACATCTGTCTTCTGTAATTGATTATGCCTCTGTTTTAGATTACTCTGAGCAAGCATGAAGCAGCCTTGTTTCACTCACGACTGTCTGTGCCTCTGTCCAAAATGAGGCCAGCGAGATGTGGTCGAGCTGCTGTTGAGCAGTAAGGGGTCAGTGCAGTAAAACGGGATGCTGGGTGGCTATGCATATGTTTAAAGAGGGTGCTGTGTTAAGGTCTCATAAATTCAGAGGTCTTGTGTTTGATAACGGGTTTGTTGTGTTTGTGGATGCATGTTTGGGAATGTGTGAAAGCCAGAGGGGAATGATAAATACCAAACATTAGTCTTGAAACTTGAAGAAAATGTGAGTGGTGTTTGCTCATGCGGAAGTCCTGACTGCAAGGTGATTGCTAAGGAATTCTGAGTAGCTGTTCTGTTTCTCATGTGTTCTAGGTTGTTGCCATGGTGTTGCTAGGTGGTTGCTTGCTGTCCCAAATAAAAAAAGCTAGTTTTTATCCAATTTGCATATTTAATTTTGAGCAATAATAAAAAGTTTGCAAGTAAAGCAGCAATTTTATCCCACTGAACACCATTCAAAATTAAATAGAGAATGTACTTTTCCTCCCTGCATTTAAAATGAATTTGAATTGAAGTAGCAAAACAGGATTCAGGATTGCAATTTGAATTCAAGCAATTTATTTTGAATTAGAATTTTGTAATTTAAAATGAACTGTAATAAAAAAAAAATCATGTTACCCTAATATATCACATTTTTTAGCTTGAAAGTAAGGTTAATCAAGACAAACTTTGAATGATTGCTCGACAAAAAAAATAAATAAGTTTTTGGGGTTACATGAATTTCTCTGAATTGTTTTTGAATTTCTTTGAATTTTATATATATATATATATATATATATATATATATATATATATATATGTATATACACACACACACACACACACACACACACACACACACATTTTTAAAATGTCTTTGCTAATTTGATTATCCATCCAAATCTCAACAAACTGCATGATTTGATGACTTTAGGTATGATTCAATCTGTAACATTAAGTTTTAAAATGCTCTAGAACGTGTTTCAATGCCGCAATATTACATGTACCTGAATGCGATCTCTGGCATTCTGTATATGTATCTTTACACATTAAACAGTTTCCCCCCTATTTTGTCATTTTCTAGGGCTACTTCCTGTTGTTTGAGTCGATGCTGGATTCTGTGCTGTACGCTAGGGATCGGTACCTCGCAGACAATGGGTTGGGTGAGTCATGTGCTCATGTTTCAGCTTTTTTACCTTCTCGTTATGAGATTAGCGGTATCTGGGAGCTCCTTGGCCAGACCTACCAATTGTTTTTTTTTTTTACTGATGGGACACAGTGAGTCCTTCCCTCATAGTGGGGTTTTATTTCCAAGGTCTCTCAAACAGACACATATATATAGTGGGTACGGAAAGTATTCAGACCCCCTTAAATTTTGTTTTCTATATACTTTACTTTTTTAAGCAGTTCAAACATTTTCTTTTTAGTTTAGATTAATTGTCAACATGTAATAAATAGTATTTTTGCCACACATTTTGTGTGTTAGAAAACATTTTTTTATCTGTTTTTGTAATCCATGATTCATAAATGCACTTTTTTACATTTACATTTAAACATTCAGCAGATGCTTTTATCCAAAGTGACTTACAAATGAGGACAATGGAAGCAGTCAGAAACAATAAAAGAACAATGATAAGCAAGTGCTATAACAAGTCTCAGTTAGCTTAATGCAGTACACGTAGCAGGATTAAAAAAAATCATATAATAAATAAAAAGTAACATATAGAATAGAAAAAGAATAGAACGAGCTAGTGTTAGAGGCCTTTTTTGCTTTTGTTAATTGTATAATAAATACAAAGAAAACAAATAGATAGAATACAAAAAGATTAGAGACTAATTTTAAAAGGTTATACTATTTACATACATTTTAATTTGTTTAAATATTTAGATTTTTTTAAATATATTTTTTTATAAAGAATAGAATTAGAATAGAGAGTGCTAGAGTTAGAGGGTCAAATAAAGATGGAAAAGATGTGTTTTTAGCCGATTTATATATATATATATATATATATATATATATACATTATAATCCAGTGCAGTTTAGACTCCTTTTATATTTGTAGAAGTCATGCCACCACGATCATTCTTTCCACTGCAGTTTTGTAGAATCACCTTTCACACTTGCGTAGTTTACAGCATAATGCTCTGCATGTTTTCCAGGTGTTCTCTCTTATCTCACACCCTGCATGCTGCTTTGCCTTTTACTACATATTGATTTGCATCAATAAAACATAAATTAAACCAACTGCTGAATAACTAAACCGTCCTTGGGCACTCACCTTCTAGATACCAGAAAATAAACATATTTTTCTTTCATTGTTCGGGAAACTAAAGTCTGCCAAAGGTCATGGACAGTGTGGAAGTGGATGTTGAACATTCTGCAAGTGTCTTGTGGCTCTGTGTCATTTTCTTGTCCACTGTGAAGCTTTAAGTGAACAGATGCTGAGAAGGTTCATGGTACGCAGCACTGTACACATGCTGACTGGATGAATTATAACTTCAAGGATCCTGACACAGGAGATGTTACACTCTCCTGATTTTTATGGGATCAAGGGATTGAGGATAGGTAGGGTTGGGAATTTAACGGTTCTAGTTATGATTATGATTCCACTTAATGACTCCAATCTCTTTTTTTATTCTATTAATGGTTCTTTTTGTACTTTTCAAGGAGCTCTAAATAATGAATAAGTAGTATGTATTTGGATATGTAGATATATGTTTTTATTTGTTCAAAATACAGTAAAATATTATTATTGTTATGCAACACAGCTGTTTTCAACATTTATATTTTTGTGGAAACCATGATAAAAATTTGTTTTCAAAAGAATATTATTTATTTGAAATATAAATCTTTTGTAATAGTATACATGGCTTTACTGTCGCTTTTGATCAATTTAATGCATCCTTGCTGAATAAAAGTATACATTTCTTTAAAGAAATAAAAAAAAAAAAAGTCATTTTGACATATTGATTCAAAAGTGGCCTATAGTAGTCATTCATTTGTGTATCAGACCACATTTATCACACTGTATTATATCATTGGGTAGTTTTACATATAAAAAAAGATTATTTCTATATAATTAAGGTAATAAGGTATTTTATGTAAATATATTTTTTTCATTAATAACAATACTTTAATAATATTTTTCAATATATTTATAGTTTAACTTTATTGTAATTTAAAGGGGTCATATGATGCGATTTAAATTTTTTCTTTCTCTTTGGAGTGTTACAAGCTCTTGGTGCATAAAGAAGATCTGTAAAGTTGCAAAGACTAAAGTCTCAAATCCAAAGAGATATTCTTTATAAAAGTT